ATTACATTATCATAATTAATTTTATTTATTTATTATTATTATTTTTATAAAATTAATAATTTTAATAATAATAAAATGAAAATATTTTAAAAAATACACTTATTTGTTTTTAAACATATTCTTATTAGTCATTTAATGTTAAACAACAACTGCTAATTATTGTATAACTAAACAGTTATATTTATAAAAAATACACTTATTTGTTTTTAACATATTCTTATTAGTCATTTAATGTTAAACAACAACTGTTAATTATTGTATAACTAAACAATTATATTTATTGAATTTGTTATCTATTATCCACTACTTACTTTCCGTTATCTATTATCCGCTACTTACTTTCCGTTATCTATTATCCGCTACTTACTTTCCGTTATCTATTATCCGCTATTTACTTTCCGCTATCTGTTATCCGCTATCCACTAACTGCCACTTGCTACTTGTTACCCGCTACCTGCTACCGGTACCCATCATCCATTATTTGCTAAATTTTAACTGTTATATCAAACATGCTCTTAATCTTTTTGTAACTTAAGGGCTTACGTGTTCCTCTTCTTAAACTACAAGGATTTGCCACTTCCCCTTTTCATCTAATCTCCCACGTCATACTTGTAATATTTAACGATAGAAAAAATTAAAACTAAAAATCGGGAACGAGATACCGCCAATTTTAAGAGCTGTGAATTTTTTTTTTTAAACAATTACTTGCTCCACTCTTTTTTAATAAGGTTTTTTTAAATAAAATAAAAAATATAATAATTTACTAACATTTTATATTTATTCTTTTATTATAATGTATTTAAGATATATTATAATTATCTTTTAAAATGAAAATAAAATAAAAACAAATATATTAAAATTTTATTTAATAATGTTTCTAAATACTTTAACTTTTAATTTTTATATCTTTTATTATTTTAAAAATATCTAAAATACTAATCAAAACAAATATTAATTATTAAACATATTTTATATTTTTTTAAGATATTAAAAAACTAAAAAACCAACCATTACAACTTCAAACAAGCAATCTCAGACTAACCTAAACAATATTTAAAAAATTAAATTTAAATCACCCGAATGTAAAACTAATTCTACTAAAATTCATCGAACAAAGTAGTAAGTTTTTGCAACTTTAATTAAGGTTCCAAAATAAATACAAAAAGGACAGCACCTTCAACTACTCGCTTGCTTGGGATATAGAAAATGCGAGATTGAGTTATCTTAGCTACATTTCATTAGCCGAAAGAAAAAGTCACATTCAGAATTCTCTTTATCATTCAGTCAAGATCATTTTCTTGCTTCAGCACAAACTCAACATCCTCAGAATTGCATGCCACTGGAATTGATGGCCGGTATAGAGGTATTGGAGAACAAGGAGGAGATTTCCTTTGGGTTGAAAACTCAGGCATGGACAAATCTTCTGGCTCCGGTAAGTTGAAACTGTCAGAATAAGTCTAAAGCAAAAGCAAAATCAACAAAATACTCAGGCCAAGAGAAAGTGGTATGGACTATGGAGTTGAGTTTTACAAGAAGAAAAAAATGACAACTGCAATTCGATATGGAGTTGATGCATTTTTAGTTCAAGGACTTAAAACTAACATCCCAGTAAGTTTGAGGGCTTATGATTTAAGTTAGCCTTGAATGATTATACCATGCAGCCATTGAAGAGAACCTAATTTTGTCTTAATCCATCAAAGCCTTCAGGGTTTTTATGTATGAATCCTAGATACATCATATTAGTCTTCAATTCCAGTTCCAATTAACTCAGTCCCTATACCATAAGCTGTGAATCAAATGTGGTCTTCACATATATACTAAAGCATGAACGCCAAGGGATATTCTCATGTTCTTCTTGATTCTCTTATACCACTCCCCGCCACCTTGTCCTAACCTCAATAGGAAACCATTGTAAAGAGAACAATTTATTTTTTACTTTTTCAATCAAGGTGAATATATTGGAGGACCATCCTGGGCCATAAGGGGGCTGATGGCCTGAGTTGAACACAGGACTGGACCATTAGGCCAAAAAGACCGGTAGAGGAAAATTTATACTTTTCTTTCATTATAAGGAAAGCAAAACTACAATCCACTGCTTTTTTTACCTCATGTAACAATCAACTCTTCACAAACTAAAGCACAGCATCCAATTTATAACAGATACAAGGAGAAAGATTAAAAAAAAAATGAAGCAGAAAAATTACCTTTTCTTCCTTAGATTGAGGACACCCAGCAGTACACGCAGAACCTGCATGGAGAAACAAGCATAAAGGTCACATCTGCAGTCGGGTTTTGCAAACTATTTATGCTTGCTGATAACCCCTAGAGACAGAATTATCTCTTAAAAGCAGCAAAACACGAAAAAATTAAAGTACTGCAAAAATGTGTCTAAACATTGTAAAAAAGGTAAACCTTTGGGACTAAACCCTAAAATCAAAGCAATTAATTACCATATCCTGGAAGAACCCAGTCCAAGTTAAACCTATTCTGCATAGCTTGTTCCTCAATACACTTTTTATGATCATGCAGAAATGCCTCATCAGCTTCATTGACTACCACCCCATCATTTCGCCTGAAGCGCTGGTGAACGTTTCGCCGAGCTATAGGAAAAACAAGTGCATAAAATCATGATAATAAAACTAGCAAGGGTTCTAGCCCTAGACTGTGAAACATGAAAAAGATAAGTTGATCAAAATATATATGCATCAAATCCTACAAAGTAATGAGTATTTAGTAATAAATCGAGATTAATGAGACAGGAATCATTTTAACCAAACAAACAAAAGGAGAAAACTTTAAATTAAAGGTCAACGATCACGAAATGGGTTCCAAGGTAGTACTCGCACTGCGTGGAGTGGATGGATCCTTCTGCCGATTCACGAGTTCCTTCAAATTCCGCTTTGAAGACATGAAGCTTAACCAGATGGGGACCTAGAACCTGAAAAATCACAAAGACCCATGTCAGGAAACAAGCAAATAAACGTAAATACAAAACAAAAACTAACAAGATGGATGTTGAATTTGTAGTGGTTAACCCAGATCATCAAACAAAACAAACCCCAAAAAGAAGGAGCTGAGGACAGCAAGCGAGTGGAATAAAGGAAGAGTGAAGAAGACTTGAAAAAGTAAAGTACCTGAGGAAACAACGAAATCAAGATATGAGATGAGAGACGGAAGTAGCGGTGGGGTTCAAGCAGATCCAGACCAGTGCTGCAGTCTCCCTGCCTCATAACCCTTGCTTTCCAACCCGAACCCCTTGATTTTGCAAAACTTCTGACACACGTACGGCACAGAGGTATTCCTTGGGAGTTGAGATTCTTCTCATGAAGGGGAAGCAGAGTCGAGGAAAATACCAAAATACTCCCTGCACTTTCTAAGCTTCGCCTTAAATTTCCTACAAGTTGTAAGTTTATAACGTTGGCCTCCACGGCTTTATAAATCTGTGACCAATTTAACGGAAAAAAAATAAATAAATTCATACACCTCATGTGTTCCGTCACCAGCCATTGAAAATTGTCATGTCACCTGCACACATCAACAAATTTATCCACCCAACCATGTCACGATGGCTAAAATCATATATTTACCCTTAATTTGTTATCAAATTTTCAGATCCAGTAGTCCTTTAAGCAAATTTCTATATTTGTTTTGATTTTTCATAATTTGATTGATAAAATTTTCACTAAGAACGGAGGAAAGAATGAAGATAAACATATTACAGAATCATGTTTTTGAGCATTTAATCCACAAAAAATACTTCCAAAACCAAGAAATTCAACAACCACCTTTAAGCAAATTCATTTCTACTTTCAAACAAAAATTAAACTTAAAAAAAGGAAAAAAAAAATACAAAAACCCAAATCTGGCATTCTAGGTCTTCCTCTTTTTTCTTTTTTCTTTTTTTTCCTTTTTTCCAAATCTGAAATCCCTCCTCCTC